GCTTGCTTCATTCTTGAATGAATCAGCCGTTTGAACGAATCGTTTGAATGCCTCAATGACTCACTCAATAAGACTTGCTGCCACCTGCTGGCGGGTTACTTTCAAATTTAAAAGTAACTACTTTTTTTTTTTTTTACAACTTTTCATATTTGTAAATAAAAAAAACCTGATGTAAAACACCAAGCTCACAGCATTATTTATGCTGTTGTAATTTTGCAGTGTTAATGCATTCATGCTACATTTCAGCTTCATTCAATTGTCTGTGTAAATGCATCTAAATGCCACTTCAGCTGCTTCTGTTTCTCCAGCAGTGGAAAATTTGGTTTTGTTAATACTGATTTAATTTGATTGGTAACAGCCCTATAGAGTCTTATTATATTAAGTGAAATTATTAATAAAATGTAAGAATTTAATATGAAAAATGACACATGCATTTAATAAGGTTAGGGGGAAATGCCCTTTTTATAGGCAAAAAAAAAAACCTGGAAATCAATTTAAATAAATGTTCATATGCAGTAACTTTAGTCATATAAAATGCAATTTTCCAGCAACAAAATTGTGGCCAGCGAAAATGCGGAGTGGCTAGTAATTTTGGAAAACCACTAGCCACAGTGGCTGGTGAGCAAAAGAGTTAATGTCAAGCCCTGTATACAGTGAATACTTGTATTTATACTTGTATTGCAGTAAAAAAAAATGTGGTGTTTAACCGGAGTACGGTGGTGGGGGTGCTTGACATGTGTCAAACACTAGAAAGGAGTGCACGCTGCAAAAAGTTTGGGAACCACTGTGTTAGAGGCTGCAGCTACCCAAACACAAGAGCTGCTTGTACAGCCGTTGATCTTTCATATGTTTACTCTTTTTAGATTACCAAATAATACTTACAATTATAACGCAACAATGCCAGACTGCAACAACGTCGAAATGAATTGTGTTTTTTCACCCATTTTATTCCTTCAATGTGGCGCATTTGGCCTTAATTTTCTATCAGGAACAGGTAGATTTTTTTTAATTAAAGATTCCAATTTTTCTATGAATAGTTCACAATAAGACCAGAAATGTGGATCCATTAGAGTCGATTTTGATTCCACGTTGACTTTTGAATCCTTGTTTTGTAGTAACAGATAAAACAATGCTGATGTTGGTTGGCAGAGGCCACAAGACTCTGACAGCCACAGAATGTCAACGAACACAAGCAGACAGAGCTTGATTGTGCTGGAGCTCAGAATTACACAACTGTTTTAATAATGCAATCAACATACACTGTCATTCTTGCAAACACTTTGATGGCAGATCTTTGGCATTGCCTGACCTCACAGCTGAAGAATAGAAGTTACATTTACAAAGCAAACATTCCCAAAACACAAAACAATAGCTTTTGCTTTCTAAAAAGAATCTCTGTTACAACATGCACCCTATTAATTTCCTTATTAAGCGTGCTCTCTAACAGTACTAATTAAAGGTAATTTATAAGGCTTTCACATTTGTTCACTAAACAAACAATACTGATTGAATAAAAATAAAAAGTTAATGGTCCAGAAGACCTGCAAGGTTAATGAAAAGCACCATTTGAGAGAAGCAGGAGACGTCAGATGTATTCAAAAACACTGATGCATTAACAAACAACATGAAAACAAATGCATGGCTATTTGAAGAAGTCAAAGCGAACTAGCTCTCAAAAAATTATACTGTACCAACATCGCTTAATTCTCATGCATGTCATGGTCTAAGATCATAATTAAGCCTATTTGCCAGAGGTCAGCGAGTTCATTCTTACAGTAACAACGGCTGGTCGTTGGCTGTGCATAGAGTTAGGAACGTAATATTGGCGCTTAAAGTCCTGTCAACCGTTATCCTCTGGCATGGTCAGCCTTTAGGCATAAACAAACAAACGCACATGGGGATCACACAAAGCGCCAACCATAAAAAAAAAAAAAGACAGAGTGAGAGAAAAAAACATATCCGCGCGCGTATCAACTACACCGCACGCGAGCTCTCTATTTGCGTTTCAAGCTCGCGCAACACATTCATAACGATATTTGTACACTTGACTATCAAACCATCAGGGAAAAACATTAAAATGTGACATTTTTTAAATAAAAGACGTGTTATTTATTATGCAGGTTGTTCAGGGCAGACGCGGAAGAAAGATGCGTGTGGTTAAATCCCCACCACCACACAATGCCGTCCTATCTTCCGCAATGGGCTAAAACCATTTAACGCTTATTCAGTAATAAACACACACTTGTTAGATTCCTAAAAACTCGTTCGCCGAGGCTGAGTGAGATTATCTACAGCTTTGTGTCGTTAGCACGGTTTTGACAAGAGGGCGTAGCGTGATAGGGGGGATTGTTTTCGTTTTTTCCGTCGAGGCCTAAACAGCGCGCTACCGCGGGCCCTGGTGAGGCAGCGCAACGGCCCGCGCTACGCTGTCACAAGGCTCTTTTTTTTTTTAGCACTTACCGGGTCCGAGCGCTTCCATGGCCGAGGGCTCTCTCTCCGTCTCTGTCCCGGCCTGGCGGCTCCGTACCGACACTGAAATTGGGGGCGGTATCTCGAAGCTTAAGGTGGCTAATTTAAGAAATGGAAGGATGCGTAGATGTGCAGCGCTCTGCCTGCGTTGTCTTCTGAGTGATTTAAAGCAGATCCATGGGATTTGTAAGTGCGCATGCGCGGGGACGCGAAATTCGGTTGGTGGACGCGCACATTGACACACACAGGGAAAATGATAAAGATTTGGGCGGTGAAGTAGTACACGGATTCAAAGGCTCACCAACCTGCGCGTTGTGTTACGTACTTTTATTTTAGGAACGGATCATGGCACTGAAATTAATGCAGTTCAGTTGACAATCTAAATCCAGGCTGCGCGCCCACTAATTTCAGTTGTAAGTGACGTTTGACACGTGTGTTGATTAATAGCAAATTAACGGTGTATGACAAACTGTGACAAACACTCAAAACGTTGTGGATGTTTTCCTTTTTCTTTATATGTTATCTTAATAGTTTACATTAAGCATACTGAACGTTGTTGTAGATTATATATTTTATTTGAAAGTTTTTGTAGATATTTTATTATAGAAATATCCTGCCCCCAAATGGCAACTTGCCTTATTTGCTGGAACTCTGTTCAAGGTTGCCAGGTTTTCACAACAAAACCCGCCCAATTGCTACTCAAAACTAGCCCAATGGCGTTCCGGGGGGTAAAATACACATTTTTGGTAGGGTTCCCCTGGTAAAATTCGCATCCCAGGGGCTAAATATCACGTTATTGGTGTCACTTCTCAACCCGCGACAAGAAAAACGACCCGCGGCACCAGTGTTAAAGTAGCACTTGGCAACACTGACTCTGTTTTTGACCATTTACAGTCAGCATTGACCAATCCGACGCGTTATTGCTGTTTCAGCTCTGACCGTCCTGTCCAATCAGCACAGCCCCAAAGCGCCTAACAACCGTTCATCCAATAGCGATGGCTCGAAAAGAATGACGGAGTCGGTTAAAGAAAAGCGCTGGAGCCCAGCGCGCGAAGGGTGAAGGTCTATTAGTTTAGCACCATCGGGCGGGAGATGGGTGTATACATTTTGACATTGTAAAAGTAACGTTTACATTTTGATTTTATGACATTTTGGATAAAAAGACTGTGTTTTCTACGTTTACACGCCTTTGGAGTGACCGCATCGTGCGATTGATGTAGTTTTGTACCGTATAAAACGACCTAAAGATGAGCTCTCTTCTGTCTGAGCGGGTAACGTATCAGAGCAAAATAACAATAAATTACTTCCAAAATAGATGTAAATGACTGCATTTGGTGAACAAATACTAGTTGATAACTAATTCTCACCCAACAGGTGATAAATATTTTGAATGAATTCATCAGGTTATTTGTGTTTAGCTAACCAGCTTAGCTATTCATCCTGTCTTTTGTAACGTATGGCCGGAGGAATTGTGCACACTTTATTTGCCTTTTTATCTTAATTGTTGCCAAGTGTCGAATTACTTTTTGTTATATTCTATGTAGAGTTTACTGCAATAGAAAATAATAATAAATACAGTGTAGGTTGCATTCTAGTCGAAGTGTAAGTTAGTGCTCGAACATTTATCAATCATCAAATTAAACTGGGTTTATTTAGCAATGGAAATCTTTCAAAGTAGTATTAACATAAATAGCAAATGTAATATTTTATAGCCTGTAGATCTGGCAGAGGCAAGAACAGCTGAAAGTGATTCAGATAGTGGAATGGGCTCACCAATGGAGGAGCCTGTGATTGACACCAACATGGTCTCTGAGGACCAGCAAGGTAAGTTAGCGAAGATCTTTTTTTTATTTTTTTTTTAAGTAGAGAATTTGATGCATCCTAACTGCTTTGTGTTTGTTGATGAATAAGCAAAACGAATGCTTTTGACACTTCTGATCACTGAACACCTAAAATATATTGTGGGATGACAGATCTTTATTCAACCATTGTGTTCCAGATTCAGATGAAGATATCACTGTTAGTCGGAAGGGACGCTCTCAGAAAGCACTGCAGGACAGTGACAGCGACGGGGAGCAGGAAGAGGCCGGAATGGCAAATGCTCTGGTCCTGTCAGAGTCCAGCGACGAGGAGACAAAGACTAATGAGACCGAAAGCATCAAAAAGAAGCGAGGGAAACGAGTATCCCGTATCTCAATGCACAGTGATGACAGTGAACCAGAGAAAGCAGAAGTCCAAGTCAAACCAAAAGAAGCAAAGAAAAAGAGGGAGAAGTCCCAAAGACGCAAAGAAAAAGAGAAACGCAACTTTGCCCTTGTAAAACGACTGAAAGAAAAAACAGAGGTGTGTGCTTAGAACATTTAACCGCTAACCATTAAACAATTATTTGTTTTAATTAGGGATGCATCGAAATGAAAACTGAATGAAATGAAAATTTTAAAAAAAAATGCCGGTAGCCGAAATGACTTTTTTTCTTTTTAAGGAGGTCCTTCCAATCAAAGCACTCAATGACAGCGGCTGTCTGCTTGGGGACTCCGATCTATTTGATGCCCAGTTAGAGGAAGACTCTGAACAGCAATTGGAAAGTGAAGAGGAAGAGTCTCTAGATGCTATCCGATCAGCTGTGAAAAAGAAGGCCAAACACAAAGTAAGCACAGACTTCCACTGTCTCGTGTATGTCTCCACTTGATTTAAATCTGTTACTGATAGTTACTTTTTCATATTATCTATAGCCTCGTCTATCAGACTTCAGTGGAGACGAGGAACAAGAGAACAGGTCACCACGCAAGGTGAGATTATTTATTATAGTGATAGTCACATCAGGGCTCGCAAAATCGCTAGCCTGACGTCCCGGGGCTATTGTGTTTTCCAGTCGGGCTACCAAAATGTATCACCACTCTGCCCCACGGGCTATCAGATCTCCCGCGGGCCCTTAAAAACTCCTAAAGTGATTTGTATCAAACTTAAGGCCATAAAAAGTTTTAAATA